GTGGCAGTGCTGAATCATGATGCCGGCGAAATGTCTGGGAATGTACCAAGTCCACGATCCCACTCCGGAAATTATCGTGCATACTATGGACCTCTATGTCTTCCTGTCGATTCGACCAAGTTGTGAAAACAGGGTCAAACAACTACTATATATCGAAAGAAGACTGTGATCAAATTAGAGGGCACAACATCTTGGTTTTCGTATCTATGCTTTACGATACTCAACCAAGCAAAAAAGAGAAGAAAGTTGACCGGCTGTAATCCTACCTATTTTTTATAACACAGCTAGATCCACTTAGTGAGACATCTTATAGTTTGGTTAGAGATCCTATGCTTTTCCTTCATGCTATTTAAAAGAGAAGTGGCTGCGGATGACATATAAAGCAAGATTTTATCGAGGTAGCTGAGCGGCGTTTAACCGAGGATCTATTCGCACAAATCTACAATCACAGCCCCAAGTCAATTCCTCGACAGCTTCCGGTGAGGCCAACTTACGAATCACTTTCATTCGCCTCTGCAAACGAAATGAAATGCACCACAGCATCAATCCTCATTCGAGTTGGTTCACAACTTGGTCGGAGCGACAGAGACCTTGTGGAAAGTACCTAGTCCTTAGTCCTCAGCCAGAGCTTTCATTATGATGACTTGGTACATTCCCATGCGCAGGACTAGATCTCCCTGACGCTCCAACCAAGTTGCGAAAGCGAGATCAAACCAAAATAACACTATAAAGTTAAAGGAGACTGTCACTAAATAGGAGGCCACATCATATTTGTCGTCAGTTCAACAACCCTCATTCGGTTTGTTGTTGGGGCAAATTTACAAAATCCTGCCAACCTGAACGTTGGTTGGATGGGAAAGTGCAACGACAAGATTACTCATCAGTTGGTTCCATTGACCGACGAGCGAATGAACAACCGTCCTTAGAGGAATCCGGCCGTAACGACCTTCTGGGGTCGATTCTGACGTCGAGGACAACTCAGCTACGGGGCAAAGGAGACGAGGAGTTCGGTCCAGAAATGCCGCGCTATCGACGGGACGAAAAAAGGCCTCCTCGACCGGCTTACACCGCCGGCTGGTGGTGCAAATGCGGCCGTAAGCCGCATTTGCACTCGCACACCACACGTGGTCACAGACACATTGGGTCCACTTGCGTGAGCCAACAGGGTGCATGTGTATGTGTGTGTATATATGACCAGCGTATAACATTCACTTGTGGCAGCACATTAACACTCTGGAGAGCAGAGCCGGTTGACTTGCGGTAGGTGGGATAGCCTCAAGGGGCAAAACGAGAGCGACAATGATAAACGGCCAACCCAAGAACTCCACTGTGCTGGCTCAGCTATTTTCTTTGTACATGTGTGTGTGTGTGTGTGTGTATGTGA